ACAACAAGAAACTTGTCTTAGTCACATGTAAAACAACTGACATATCATAAGAGGACAATAGCCAGCTAGCTAAACAGTAAGTTAATGTGTTGTTATCTAAGTTTTAGTAAGAAAAGCAGAGGATTAGAGAAAATATAGACAGAAAAAGAAAAGCCAACAATATCACCAACGAACGAATATAAAAATTTATGTAGAATAAATAGGGAAGAAAGAAAAGAAAATTTCCTTAAGGATAGAAAGTATGACAGACAAATTTATAAAAAAATTTTACGTAAAATCTTTAAATATACACACATTAGTTAATTTAAATTTTGATCGTTATTAAACTTTCATTGATGATCTTTTAAATGATATGAATATGAAATGAACATAATTGTTTTCATTTTGAATCATTATGAGTGGATAAATAATTATGATATTAAATATGGAAGAATAAATGGAAATTATGTTAAATCATCAATGTGTGTATTAAAAATTGAAAGGATTAATATGATCTAATTTACAAAAGGTAAGTGTTAAGTAATGAAAAAGGATTGATTTGAAATGACAATTGGTTTTATTATTATAATAAAATAATTAATATATATATTATTTAATTGGAACAATAAGAATCTCGTTAAAATACAGATATTTTGACTATAAATCTTCTTCATATCTAGTGCATTAATCTGGTTTTTAATAGGTTACATAAATAAACCATCACATATCTTGTTTTAGGTATCGTTCAGATGATTTGGTTTCCTGTTATAAATTACTATTAGTAGTTCTATTAGTTTTTCATAGAATAAGTGTCATGTGTGTTCATTTTGCAAAACTGATGAATATGATTGGGGACGCACACAATTTATATTGGCCGAAAGATTTGTAAGTAGAAAGAAAAATCTTGGCATCTAATCTAATCATAATGATCATATTTTAAGTTGTAGCTAAAAAGGTTTTTTTTACTTTAGTGCATATTTCGATTGATTAGTATTTTGGAGTTCTGAATGTGTAATGCAAGAAAACTGCAAACAAGTTCTAATCAAGAAATCTTCTCTGAAATATTTATAAACATATTATACAAAGTTTTATGTTTAAATTCATTGATAAAATAGTATATCTACATCTAAAGAATGAATAAAGTGTAATACTAAGCTCGAATAAGTAGAATTTTTTTTAAAAAATAATCATTAACTCTAATGTGACTTTAAGGATCATTTTTGATATGAGAAGTTTAGAAGGAAACAAGCTCATGTGTGTTTCCGTAACAGTTTCGACTACTAAAAATACTATCGCGATAAACTCTGATGATGTAAAAAGAAGTCGACCGGATATTGAAATTGTCGAACGAATGATAACCATGATTTTATTGATAGATTCTCATTGACCTAAATTATCTAGATTAATTTGTTTGAATACCTAGTATTACCTTATGAAAACCTCAGTATATTAGTTCAACACGCTTATTATTACATTTTCTACTAAGAGATTGGGACTATCAGATTTTATTGTTAACTTATAGATTTAATAAATATTTTAACTTATTTTGAATTCATAACCTTTTAATATATAAAAAGGACTCAATATAAAAAATTTGCCCTCTTGATAAATTAAGATATAAGCACTCTACTTTAAATTCTTAAAATTTTAATTTCTTAAATTTAACATTTTTAAATTCTTAAAATGTTAAAACATGACGCTGTAATTTTTAAAACAAAAACGTTTACATTTTACGAGTAAAAAATAATGTAATCTCTGTTGTCATTCCAATCTAGTGTATAACTAGACAATGATAAGACACTGGCTAACTAACTCAGGTACTAAAATCATTTGACTGAAAAGCTGAAACACAGCTACATCGTTGTTTATCAGTTCATGAAATTTGTTATAAAGAGAAGATATACACTGACAACCAAGTAGAAAATCTGTCCCGCATTGAATAAATATTTCAAACTGGGATATTTCTGTAAATCACGAAATATAAAAGCAGTTACAGAAAGAACCGGAGATTTCAGATGCTTCTACACTTAATGGATGTATTTAACTGGTGAATATTAGTCGAACTGAATTCCATTGAAACTATTCGTTAATTTAAAGCCAAATAGCTCGTGTGAGAAAATATAGTGATTTGTATTATCATCTTAATTTAATATTACTACTATCTCCAAGCTTAGACTATTTCGTGGTTATTTAAAGTAAAGAAATCAACAACGGGAAATTGCACGATTAAAATTACGAGATATTGAACGAAACGTTAAGGTATATATGTAAATATGAATATCTCTTTAAAAATTAGAAGCTGGTATACATACATTATGGGGTAACATATTACCTGATAACGGTGTCTAGAAAGAAAGCTGTTCGTTGAAGTTACTATACGATTATTATGTTCTTCATAATAATCTATTTTTGAAATGTATCAGGAAAAAAGACACTTATAATCAATGATACAAACAGTAATATTTAACTAAATGATTAAAATTTTGGTTCTAAACCTTATATTTTGATAGACTAATTGTTATTAATATTTTAGTCAGTAAATAATATTAGATGGTCAAAGATAATTAAATATAATTACATTTATGATTATTGCCAATATCTTCAGTTTGCACAACTAAAATATTTGAGCAGTAATCAAAATTTATAAAGTGATATAATTTTAATGATTGCAGATGTGAGAAACATTGAATAAAGAGTGATTTCACAATCAACCGTCTTAATTACGATGATCGTTCATTAAATATATATATAAAAATAAATTTAATAGTTTTACGTTGTACGAACTCTTATCAGGTGGATCTATCGAATATTATTGATAATGAAACTGTAATCACTTCAATTATATGTTTATCAAATTAAGTGTCTTCGTATCTCTTCTAGTCCCTACTACCCTTTCCGTGTAATCAAAAATGCCCTAATAATATAGTATATTCATGTGTTAAATTGCTGGTTAGATTAATGTGTAACATATGACTAGCCAATGCACTTTTATTTTTGATTTTTTCCTAGATAATTTGAGTTACATTGATTCATCTCACTGCTAGAAAAATTAATATGATTTTTCAATGAGGTCAATGTGGGATATATCATTTTGTTTAAAATGTCAGGTTTTGAATGAACAGTGAATGACTGATTAATAACATAAGATTTGGGTTAAGTGAATCTTGCTTAATAATACCAAATCTATCTATATAAAGAGATAAAGACTTAAAAAGTGAAATGATCATCGCATATTGAACGGTGTCAGATTATCCATTCATCTTAAATAGCTTAATAAGTGTGTAGTATCCAGTATTTTTAGACGTTTTCGTGTTCGTTTAGTGTTTGCTGTTTATATATAATAGTGTGATGTTCATCACATGTATCTTTTTCAAATCCGTTCACTCTGAACTCGTTAGTGTTGCCCATTCCAGTATGCCGGATGAAAATAAAAATTACGTTAGCGTTAAAGCTTGAAGTGAAATCTATAATCTTGTACACATTCCTAGATGCAATACTTTTCCACTTAGTGAACGGAAAAATGCCTCAAAACATTTGATACTACACTTTTATTAAACATTGGAAAATGAAAGAATAACCTTACACTATTAAAGAAACTTATTTTTAGTGGTTTGATTGATGGAAGTTTTAGGAACTAAATAATTTATAACTGGTGGGAAGTGTAATAATAGGGCTTTTCGGCCCTCTGAGTTAAGATCATGTGTTGTAATAATGGAGCTAGTGAACTAGTTCCATGCATTAAAACTGTTTGCACAGCAATGAAATCTAATTTTATCGTTCCTAAACTAATCATAGCATTAATAAGCAATTTGATTACATCGGATATAATGAATTTGAGATCCTAGATAACGTTAAATATTATCACAACCAATATTTGCAATCTACAGGTGTTTAATTTACGCTGAATAATCTTCAATGATTACGCGATAAAAATCGGTAGTGTCTAGTTAGTACCCATTATCTAATAAAGAGATTTCATTATTGATACCTGTTGTACTCAATTTCATTATGTAACACTAAAAGAGGCTTCCATCCGCATGCAGTGTCATATCTCTCTCTATGAAAGTGAGAATTTTACGTGGCTAAGAATATAGGGATTTTTACGAAGAGTATATTTAGACTGCTTTTTATTAAACAAGACTGAGAGCTCAAACATGACATTAGTATCATTTAATCTGTTCTCTTAGTGTTGTAGAAACCTTACTCAACTCTGTCAGTGACCAAATATTCTAATCCCTACTTGACTGACATAAAAATCACTGCTTCATAATAATACTGCCATATATTCATCCCCAATACAATCAACTGCGTCAACATATACTTTTTATTTACTTGAGAACTTTTTGATATGGCTAATATGATTTCAGTGATAATTTTCGACATTTAATATTGTCAACTTACAAATAATTGAAAAATAGAGTCCATCATCCAGTGATTTTATTCTACATTGGAACACTTCAATAAAGTAAATACACAATCGCTCACAGTATGGGGACCAGAACCCTGAGGTTTTAAAAGGGATGTTAATTTACTTATTGAAAATATGATGGTTATCCGTTTTATTTTCAGGAAATAGGTATCACAAGTTCCGCGTACATGTAGTTTTTATGTTGTTCAATCCCATGTGAAATAATAGGTGTGTTTCTCCGATTAGTTTTAAAAAGATTATCATTGTCGTATGTTTTTACAGTTACCGGACTAACATCAATTCATAAACAAAATTATATTTAAAAAATACAATATATCTGCAAAATTACAATGATATATTCGATTTCGTACGAAAACATTGGAAAAATGCAGAAATTTTCAATACCTTATTGAGATCTTTTAATTTATCAAAGAATATAAATTTACTTGACTTCAGAATGTTGTAATATTGACGCTTGATGTTACTGCCGTAAACAGTAGAGCTAAATTAGAACAAAGCCATGGTAATCTTTTGACATAAAATGTTATTTTGTGAATTATTATGAAATTTAATAATCTAATGTTAATTTTTATTATTTTCTCAGTAAATTAGAATGAAAACAATACCGCTGTTTCACCAAATTCATTTAATTTTAAGTAAGTTTAATTTTTCAAATAAATTTATTTGTTTATAATTTGAATTCGAGAGAATGAGAGGACTCATTTTAGTAATAATGAATTTTTATTTCGATTGCCGTGTTGATTATTTTTATGGATACAATAATTTTAATGACTATTTTCCGTCAACCTTAAGGGTTAATAACCTGACAATCATATCAATGATATAGTTTTAAACTGTCTTCAAGTTCATTATAATAAATTTTTTTTATGTGATTAAACCATTTAAGTTCAAATGTTCTGTTAACTCATTATTCTTCAGAATATTTTTTTTAATTACCAATGAATAAAGTTTGCACAATATAACGTTTTTTGTTTTCATGTTTAAAAATTATTCAATTTTCATAATGTTTATACATAACTTCACTGCTCAGTTTTTTCTTTTGTAATTTTGTAAAAGCAACGAAACATTTTATGACAAAACTCTTGTTACATTCATGAGAATAAGATAAAGGGAAGACTGAAACTGTTGATTATTTTTACTGTTAAAGCATCGTACAAGTGGCAATTGAACTTCGCAGTCACCAGATTAAACAATTATTATTAACTACCCCGAAACAATAATACAGCGGATAATTTTTAGAGATTTTTAGAAGTTATTCATTGTAGTTCTCTACTCAGAGTTGAAAAGTGTTTATCTATAGAAAATAGAATAGTCAATTTCATTGTATAAATTCCGCCTTAGTAAAATAGTGTGTTTACTTCATATTCAAATATAAAAATGGTTTTAAGTTGTTAGCATTTTATGAGACTCATTTAGGTGCATTTTATTGAACTTACTGTTTGTGTGTCAGATCAATTAAGACTCTTTCTTATTGTTATCAAAGATAAATTCTCCTACTATGTTTCCGTACACTTGACGTAACACAAAAGTCTTCAAATTCCAGGTTTGTACTTATAACAACAGAAATTTGAATAAGTAGTCAAAAGTTCGATATGTTTTAACCTATGATTTATCTTAATGAACCTGCGAACAATTTATGCGATTTTGTAGATTGCATCAAGTGTATGACTAAGATGGTTTAAACATGAGACTAAGAAACATTTGATTGCGTGATCTATTTAAACGATAAAATATGTGACACAAATTTTTTTTATCAAAAGGATCGTAATGCGAGCTGCACAAAAATAGTATAAAACAATCACCTGACAAATAACGCACAAAATAGTACTTGATTTCAACATCATCTTATTTTTTCCTTTCCGACTACAAGATGATAGTATTTCAACGATCAGTACCAGCTACGAAAATGTTGGTTCTTCGTTAGATGGTATGTATTTGTGCTCATCAAAAAATTTTCTTCCACATAGTGTCGTATTAGCAATTTGAAATTCCTATGACTAATAAGTTAAGTATAAAAAATCTATTGTTTTTATATAGTAGCGATGAATTTCCGTGCATCGGGAGCATTCGACATTGTTCGGATGACTTTTAGCATGAAACCGCCTATAAAATTCTTAGCGAATAGTCACTTGAATTATAAATTCTGCCCTTACCAATCCGTGTCTTCTCATCTGCCTAAGATCCACCTTGTTTATTGATGATGCTGCACAGATCTGTAAAAGCTTCCGTTTTTTCCAAAGCTGGTGTATTTCGTGGTGTATCGGAGGGTCTTGCTTTTTCTCTCGTGCACGTTGAAACCTACTGTTGAGGTGGGTGTTGCTACACTGGTTGACTTCCCCTGCTTTTTTGCTCTGTATGAAACAGAAGAGCTAGGTCATCTGCAAAGTCTAAATCGTCTAGCTGAATTCTGTCTGTACATGTATCCCTTGATTTTCATCAGATATTGACGTTTTTGTAATCCAGTCAACCCACAGAAGAAAAAGGAAGTGTGAGAGTAAGCAACCTTGTCTGACACAGATCTTTGCTTGTAATGAACCTGTGAGCTGACCTCCATGTATGATTTTGCAGTGCGGTCCGTTGCAAGAATTCTGTACGATGTTGCCATGTTGACAAGATCTCCATCCTTTGGTAAACTAATCAGCTGTTCTTCTTCCAAATGGTTCTGAAAAGAGCGTACAGCATCTTTGCAGTTAATTTTGTGTCTGACTTAGGTACTTCAGCTGGTGTGCTATCTGATCCTGCCGCTTTGCCGCTATCGATTTACTGGTTTCCTCAACAGTTAGTCAGATAGAATGGGGAGGCAGGTCCGCATTCCCGACCTTATCGTTCAAAGAGCTCAGTGAGGCTAATCTATTCAAGGCTTCTCCAAAATGCTCTACTCATCTGCTCCACAATTCTTGAGTCACGATTATTGGTTTGCCTTCTTTGTTCTTGACTGGTTTATCCGTTACACAATAACTTCCTGCTTAGTCCTTTGTTTTATCACATACTCATCTCATATTTCCTTCTCTTGTAGCTTCTTCCACTTCCATTACAAGGTCTTCTACATATTTCCTTTATTTCTCCTCTCCACTTACTTGTATGCTTCTGAGTATTCGGCGTGTGCCTTGGCTTCCACTGCTCAAGTCCTAATGTTATCGGTCGCCGTCTCCCAGTTATTCGTTTTTCGAATCTTATCCAGAGTATCAACAGAGATCGACTCCTTATGATTGTACTTCTGTAACCCCTTTCTAATTATTCATCAAGGTAGTTTCCTGTTCAATAATTAGATCGTGAAGGGCTTGAAAATTATTGCTGTAAGCCATCTTGAATACAGTGAGTTTGACTGTATCTCGAAGAGAGCTTGTTCCAAACTTTTGTAACTCTGTTTACCCACTCGTTAAGTGTTTTCTAGTGTGTTTCATCATGATCACCATCCATTGAATTTAGTTGTAAAGCTAATGAAAACTAAACCACACTAGACGGTTATCAACAATAAGCATATTATTTTTTTTGTTTTCATTTCTTTTGAAAATAAATGTACTAATGCCATGTTATTTTTAATATTCAACAAACGAAAGTCAGAAAAATAGTTTTCCTAAATGTTTTAATAATAGTTAAAAATTCTTTAATCCTATTTACTTCATTGCATGTGAAAGTTACAATGGAAAGGTTATTTTACTAAAGAGACACAAATGTGTTTATAAATTTTGCTAGTATCATGATATGGAATGGGTCTGGAAACTTTATTGTCATTTGCTATATGTATTTCGAACAATCTGGTTGCATATATACTACTGATCAGGACATTAATATATGAAAAGTAATGTAGATCAGTCGGATAAAAATTCACGTATATGCTTTTATTCCTAAACAAAATGATGCTTTTCTTTAAATAGACCTCAATTTACCTTTTTGTCTGGCATTACTTGTATAGATTTACATTCATAGAAGCATCAGACAATTATTGAGAATATTATCAAGGAGTTGATCATATCATTTGACCATGACCCAAAAATGAAATTGAATAGAGATTTATTAATGGATTTAAATGACTTCTGTTTTTACTTCTTTTCTGATCAGTGACCATAATACTATGTTACCATCAATTTTACATAAACTTGGTGACATGAATGGAAGAGCTGAGATTAATTAGACTTCTATGTTCCAATAACAAAAAACTTGTTGTTATAAACAACTGAATTTTCAAGTATTTACTACGTTTGACTTAAAAAACTCTGAGGGCATAAAAAATGAGCTATGAACTCATCTATCATAGTTACTTTCAATACGGTTATGGTGCGGTAGGGTTTAGGAAGCATAAACATAATAAATCAGCTGTTGGCAATCAATTACAAGCTTCATGTATAAGTGATTAAAAGAAATAAAAAGTAATTACAAAAACTGTGTTATTTAATGTAACTATCTCTGAATTTTACATGAAATATCGTTAAGTATAAACACTAGATTGAGAGAGGGTGAAATTTCGTTGATATACGGTGACTATAATCTAGATAGCGTTAAAAAATATGTAACCACTCTTTTTCTATAAGTATAGAAAGGTGTACCACATACCGTACGGACTTCATTCATGTCAGCTACTATTCTAACACTTTTCTATAGATTACATGATATAGTCAGAATTCCGAAGAAATAATGAAATGACTATTTAGATCAAAAAACTGTAGGGTTTAAAGCGATTTTTGAAATTATAATATTCAACAAAATTTTTCAACGTTACTCACTGGAAAACGAAAACAAGAATTAATTCGATCGCTTCTAGTCATTTCAAATTTTTTTCTACAGAGTATTACCAAACATGTAAACGAAACATCTTTCAGAATAAAGGTTGATTATAACGGTCAGTGAAGAGGTTGTGATTTACAATTTTTATGATCAGTAAATATGTGAATCTGATTCGTTCATTGCCTGTCAGCATGTCTAATCTTTGTAGCTTCATTCATTTTACATTTCCAAGGCTTTACTGACTTTAAATTAAGCTTTGTTTAAATTACTTAAATGAATAATTCAATCGTACTTTTTACAAGCTTTATTTGTTCCGATGTTCCGGCATTTACTAGTTTTGGTTAATCGAAATTTCCGAATATTAGTGACCATTCTACAAACATATTGTTAACTCACAGTGATTTCATAATCATCTAACAACATTTTATTACTTATTGATAATGAATTCATGGTTTGCTAATGAAATTTGAACTATGTATACAAGCTTAGTATAAGCAAATGTTTACATTCAGTTTGATGAAAGTTAAAATTAGTCACTCTGAAGATAGAAAAAGGTTATTTATAGAAACAATCAATAATTCTAAATTATATCATCTCTTTTTTCAGAGAATTCTGAATTGCCAAACGGATATATATCATTAAATTAATACGTAATTAGATTTAATTGGTTCTCAGAGAGAGAATTTCAAACTTTTCCAAAATATATAAATAAATGAATATTAGAATATAATTGTATATACGATTAGAATTGGTATAAAACATTTTATTAAATAATGAGAAGATAAAAATTTAAAAGCTAATCAACTACATAGTTACGGATTAATTATAAGTTATAATTTAGTCAAGGGAATATTTTTGAAAAAAATACAGCATAGCCTTGAATTTTCATTCATTATGTTTCTACAAGTTTTTATGTAAACACTGTATCTTTGAAGAAGACAAAATATGATTATAATTTTTATGTAAAATTACTAATATTAAGTGTAATTTTGTTCGGTCTAGCGAAATCAGTATGAAACCACACTTATTGATTTGTCTTGTATCAAGAAATTGAATACTTCAACAAAAAGTGTTGTATTATGAAGGAAATTCTGAAAGTTTAGGAATAAATTTCTCATTTATTTATATCTTTCAAATAAATAGACTAGTCAGTTTCGATTGTTGAAGATTATCTTTTAGTAAGTTTGGTTTCTTTCATCGAGTTCATGTTGCGCAATATACTAATTAAATAAATAAAAACGTTGTAAGCTATGAAAACGTATCGTTACATGTAAGGATATATGAGATTTCTCAAATATTACGACTTATTAAACTTTCAAAGCAAAGAATAACAAAAAGATTTAGCACTGGAAATTCCATTACTAAAGATGATTCATTTAAATTAATTGGTTTCTTTCTTTGATAAAATCAATAAAACTTTGAAAATTGGTTTATTAGTCCAATTAAAATTTATTAAATCAAAATTATAGCACAGAAATTGACCACTTTTGTACAAAACCCCCTTTGTTTCCTGTAAAAATTTATGGAATCAGTAGTTTCTTAGAAAGACCAAATATTTCGAAAAAGGTTTTCGGAAAAGAAATTATATTTTTTTTGCTTAAAGAATTTGAGGAGAATAATAGTTCTTGTGGCATTTTTAGAAAAGTTTTATTACAACCAAATGTAAGTGAAGGAATGAAAGAAAAGTTCCAAAAATTAGGATTTACGAATAAACGATAATAAAATTGAAAGAATAGAGAAAATTTGGAGCGCAGATGGATGATTATGATGTACCTTCGTTCTTTGAGATAGATGAATTTGTTGTGAATCTTTCAGTGTTCTTATGAACAACGTCATCAGCCCAAACTTCAAGTAGAAGTGAATTGTTCGAATTTCTCCGCACATGACATAACATTCGTCATCATCGAAAAAGACAAGCTGGAAAACAACCTACAATCCTATCAACAACGTCTTCGATGACATAAAATTCACAATGGAAGAGGAATAGCAACATTCCGAAAACTAGAAAAATCAACTGCGTGCAAACTTTATTCAAAAGGCTGAGAACATTCTGTCGCATACATGCAGCACGGAAGAATGGAGAAAAATATCTAATCACTATCCGCTAAAAGATCGACTACCGATAAATCTTTATTAAAGAATATGAATCCAACTCATCGGCAAAATAGAAATCAAGTGTAAAAACCGAAAAATAGATCATTCTACCATATCAGATGTTCTAGAGAGATTACTGAAACCGTTTGGGGCAGTTGAAGTACACAATCCAACAAAATCACTACAATCAATCCTACCTAAACCAAAGGATAAAATGAGAAAAGAAGAAATACTGAACATCGTATACAAAATAAACTGCTCACAATGCGAAAATGGATAAAACGGACAGAGTAAACGCACCCTTCATCCTCACCTATGTGAAAATCGATTGACAGTCAAACGTCTTGACATATCTTCCCCTACATCAAAACATGTAGACAACTAGGGACATAAATTCAAGTGGAAAAATGTCAAAATCTGGGATAGAGTAAATACGAAGATGACCAGATAATTTGTAGAAGATTGGCACTCAGATCAATCACTATTCCACAAACACATCGACATTGACTGAATTTATCAACCAATCAGAAAAATAATAGACAAGCATAGGATCAAGAAGCATATCACAGGGGGATGCAATCAAAATATAGATGCAGACAACGACAAGTAAAAGGTCAATAACAATCAGTCAAGCTCGAGGTCAATAGGACAAGCTACGGGTTATAAACAGAGAATTTCAAACAATTCACCTCTACTTGAAGTTTGTGTTGATGATGTTGTTCGAAAGAACAATCAAAATTCTACAGCTAAATCATCCAGTCAAGAGAACGAAAACAGTTGACTAAATAAGTTGACATTTTAGTATTCTAAACTTTATGTCAGGTTGTTGAAGGCCATTGTATCACTTTCAATTTCTTTATTCACATTAAAACTGAGTTTGTAAAATCAATGTGTGTCTACATTTAATTATACCATCAATGGTAGATGTTGTGAACAGTAAATTAATGACACTTACATTTTAAAGGAAAATGAGACCACGTTTGAACCTAAGTATATGTTGTTATAGCGTAATACATATAGTTTAAGTCCCACAAGATATAAAACAATTATAAGTGTAATCAAAGTCTGAACAGTAAATGAAGTAAGTCAGGTAAAAAAAGAAATAATTGATTTATTTACCATTATTATTGGATCTACGTTTGTTTATTATCAATACAAATTCACTGTGATTTAATTTTCTTGTCTTGCTTATCTTTAATCATGAGACTTAATTTCTTATATCTGTCAAAGGTCACAAGGTTAGATTATAATGGGAGGAAATAAATATTACCCAATTGAAACAGAAACCTTGGCATGTTTAATACTTTTAAAAGTGTTACTTGACAAGATTTCTCACTGTTATGATCTAATCTCCTTTTAGAAACAATCGCTTAATAAAGCATGGGGACCATATGATTGAAAATGGGGATATTTTTTGGTGAATATGGGTTTCCTTAGTTGGACAATCGAATCAGTAATAATATTCAAAAAAAACTTTCGTCCCTCTGCTTGATTATCATAAGAGTAAACGAGTTGATATGGAATTCAGTTCAAGAATATTCTAAATCGTGTTTATAAGCAATATACAAATAGATGGAAAGAAAATTCTGCAGTTGTGTTGTGCAAATTGAATATTTATAAATTTTGAATATACTGAACTTTTTATCTCACTTAACTCAGGTATCCTAGTAAATGCATAATTGTTGTTTACTCCTTAATAAGTTCAGATGACAAATGATACCATTAACTAGTAAAAAATCCAATGAGTTTTTATTACGGTATTGTAAAAAGTATAAATATATTTTATTGTGCTTGAAAATAATATAATAGCCATATGAGATCAACAAATAAGTGTCTTGAAAGCCTATCCAAACAGATGTCTTATTCTATCTATATTTTGTTATATTTAAAAGTAGCTGTTGCTATTTATACTTTTGGAAGTACAGATGAACAGTAGAAATATACTTGTTTATCGCATTTTCTTCTGTGATATACTAGTCACTGATGAATATTAGTCTATGGAAATTTTTTTTAGGCCAGTTTAATTAAATGTAATTGCAAATGATAGAAATTCTGCTTTATAATCAAACTTTATTTTCATTTTCAGTAATATTTTGGAGTTGGAGTATAAAAATTACATTACAAAATGATCAAAATAATACAATTCAGAAACTAGATGCAAGAGACTATCATAGTGGGCGGAATATTATAATCATTGAAGCCTCATGGGATGAAGCTTCTAAGAACCAAACTCAAGTTACTGTTCAGGCTGGGGAATCAAAAATATTTATATGCAGTATATGGACTTCAGAATCAGATGATAACCACAACTTAGAGTCTGGTATTGGTAACACTGAACAATCTGTATTCCTGTTTTGTCCAATGAGTGTTGCATATTGCGCTCAGGATTGTTTAACTGTGGAGTCTACATGGCTTATTCAGTGTACCAGACAGTTCAGAATAGTGACTAACCCTGATTTCTTACGGACTTCCTACTCACAATATTCAGGGATTATAAAAGGTTGGCGTCTACAAGAAGTTATTTATAAGCTGAACATTGCTACAACCACTTCTGCCGGATTTTGGGGTTGCGCGTATGGTGGCTATCACTCGAAAAGATTGGAGTTAATTGTGAAAGGTGCAAAAGTAGATTTTTTAAAGTAAAATATTTAGCTGTTGGTTGTTAGTGGCTATTCGCCATTCTCTTAATTTATTGTGTAGTTCAGAAAACAATATTTGAAGTAAGGTATTGAATACTTAAAACTAAGCTCTAGAAACACTAGATTCCTACTCGTGCTTCAACTTATAGAGAGTTTATACCCAGAAATTTTAATTAATGGTCATAACAACAACTCCTTATTTTATATTCACTTACTCGAATCCGGTTATTTGTAAATCAGTTTAGGATCATCATTCGATCAATAAAATAGTAAACTTAGGTTCATCACGCTTCAGAAAAAAACGTTCTTGATGCCCTACAAAAACGAATTTTATCAGAAATAAAGGTTATGCTTATAAACTACTCTATTTTTAATGGTGAGTATAATCGTGTAGGTTTCTACACTTCCTTATCTGTTCGTTTGCACTGATTAGCATTTTTATGAAGCTAATTCATTTTTCTTACATTAGTACCTCACCAACCAAAATTACATGAAAAACCCTAAAATATTATTCAAAGTGTATTTGGCATATTATGACCATATAAGAGCAGATAATCGTTCTTTAGATAGATGGTTGGTATAAATTATTTTAAATGATTTCCATCGGAATTACCCTTTCTGATTAAATGACAAATAAGATCAAATACACATTTTTGAATTCCTATCAAATGTGGAATTACTTCAGTTTTATTATTAAAACAGGCATCCGATCTAAAAGCGTAAGAACACTAATATTCAGTGAATGTTTCTGTTTGGTTTACACAAAAATTTCTTCTAACAACAACATCCACAATATGACAAAAACATGGGTACAACACATATAAGCGAACAATATTGTTTTCGATTAGATCGTCATCAGGTTCTACTCTAATATACATAAATATTTATATGAAAATGTTAAACCAATCAAGGCAATTTGAGTCATCATCATAATCAAATGAAAAATATTACGTCACTACATATAATAGGCAAATGTACAAGTGGATAGTAGGAAGACAGGTGTACTGATAGTAGTAAGAAAATCATAAAATATGATAACTAAACTTTTTTCAGTAGTAGGTTGAAGGTGGATAAATAGACTTCAAATAATCATTAAAAAGCATTAAAACCATTACGTAATAAGCAAATGTGTAAAAATAAAAAAAATAATGCCAGTCGTTAGTTACGTCATATCCGGCCACGGAAGAGATAGGGGTGCCTAGGCGTGCCTAGATAGAACTGAGTATTGTTTTTGACTGACCCTTCGTAATCCATGCTGGGAGATGTTCACTCATTTGTTGGTTAAGTTGCCTGGTAGTACGCCCGATATAGCCATCTCCACAGGAGCAGCTGAATTTGTAAATGCACACAGAGGAGGCCAACTCAGGTAACTTATCCCTCGTTTGGGTAGACATCGCTGGTCGACTGGAGAATGTCAATGCAAGTTTGGCAGCATTGAATGTTCTATTAATTACTTTGATTAATCTGTCCTGCAGAGTATCACAGGCCACATCTCCGTTGAATTGTAACTTCATAAATAAGGGCTTCTTTTTAGCGGCCGAAACCACCGACTTCTTCTTCACGGCAAAAATATACTTTTTTATGAATGCGCTGGGAAAACCAGTCTGGGTTAGTGAGCTGTTGATGAATTCCAACTCCTGACTTAAAGTATCCACTGAACAGATCATTTTTGATCTACTAGTGAGATATCTAACTAAATTTCTTTTGTAGCGGCTAGGTGTAAAACTACAAAAGTGAGTGTATTGGCAAGTACTGGGATTTTTTCGATACACGCTTCCACTTAGTGAACCATCACTTCGCCTGCTTGGTATGATATCAAGGAAAGTTAGTTTTTTATCATATTCCCCTTCACCAGTGAACGTGATTACCGGGTGTACACTGTTGAATTGTTCTAAGAGTTTTTCTTTTTTGATGTCCTGATCTACAATGATGAATGTGTCACTGACGTACAGGCAACATAGATCAAGTTTTTGAATAGCTTCATTAAGTGGTCCATTTTTTCATTTGATTGTGATTATGACTCAAATTGCCTTGATTGGTTTAACATTTTCATATAAGTATTTATGTATATTAGAGTAAAGCCTGATGACGATCTAATCGAAAACAATATTGTTCACTTATATGTGTTGTTCTAATTTTCACAATGGGAGTCTTTAATATTCAAAAAAATGGGTCACGAAGTAAAGGCTGATTAGAAGAAGAGTTCTAGCTGCTAACAAATTAGATCCCATTTATCATGAATATCCGTAAATGATCAATAAGAAAGGTGTAAAACCAGATTCTTTCCATTCCTTACCAGAAGATTTCGGTTGACCAGCCGATAATGTTTGCTTGACCATACCATGGTACCACCAAATACATTCATTATGGGACTGTAAATTGGCTAGCTGAAACACAGCTGGTTGCACTTCATGTCTGTTCATAAAATATAAAATATGGCTTTTCCTTCCGATCGAACGGTCTTTGAGGTGTGTTACATTACAGTTTTATTAGATTCTCATCAGTTTTGTAGCAACAATGATGATAGCGAACAAATGTTGATATTAGTGTTAACTATTTCAAAGATGTTTCTGTGATCATCAATTAGCACAGTTGTTCAGTTCCTAATTATATTTTAAATGAATGGATAGAGTTGAAGATCGCTATTTGATAATGTTTTTTTTCCATTATATATTCAAAAAACAGCCGATTACATAACTGACAGTTAATTTTATTAACTTTAGTTATTTTTGAACTTTGCTTAATCGACATATTTAAGTTTAAACCATTAAAATATTTTATTTCGTTTGAGTTTTGGTGCCGTTCAAAACAATAAAAATCAATTGTTCGTCGGTGATTTTTTTCTCTGGCGTCAAAGGTGATTGGATACTTTGTTATGCAGTTAACCTCTGATTTATGTAGCGTGGAACAAACGATGTTTTGGCACATAAGTGAGGCCTTTAATGCGTTCAAACTTTCCTGACAACCCTGAAATATAGTTTTGTTTAAAAAACAGTATCTACAAACACATTCATTTTTTATCTTAGATTTGAAAATGTATGTACTCATCTATTCTGTATCAAGTTACTTAAATATATCAGGTCGTAGAATCATTTTTTGACGTTACAAGCTTACTGAATACTGCTCAGTAACCAGGGCTAATCAGATATACTAAATGAACTATTTCCTGACACAAAGTTGTTGTAATTTATACAGTTAATATTAGTCTAGACTATCGTTTCAAAGAACTAGTACTTCACTGTTTCAGCAGTGATTGATAACATAGCTATTTATCAATGCGTTCCTCAATGAAGTCCAAATGATTTGTTGTATATTATAAACGCTTTCGTCACATCGTATTTTTTATTCCATAAATAAATACTAAAGGTTTAGTACTTTGTATGTAAGCAGTTTTTAAAATCTTTTAATGCATAAGTTGACAGAATAATCCTCATATCATCTTAGTTATTAGTTTGTTGTCTTTACCTTTCTAGATAGACCAGCACTTTTGTCTTTGACTTCAAGTCCACCTAACCCTGTAGAAATCGGAACTAATGTCAAACTAACATGTGAAGCTGCACCTAGTCCTAAAGCTCCATGGTACACGTTTGTTTGGCGTCGGATCGGAACTCAAATGCCACCTGCTCATTCTACATTGCGCATATCCGATACAATTTCCATATTGACACTTTTATCTGTACAACCTACTGATGATGGACTATATAGCTGTCATATATTACAATCTCAATCAGATTCATTAAGTAAAGAAATGTGGGAAGACAAAGAAGTCGAAGCTTCAGGATCAAAAAACTCAACTGAGAAAGCGAGATTTAAAAAAGATCCAGCAGTACTACGGTTACACTTAGAAGTTTTTCGTAAGTGATTAGTTTTGTTTACAGTGTCTCTGTCTCAAAATTACAAGACTACATTAATTCTGTTGTTCGGCTTTGAGAAACCTTTTTAAGCTATTTATGTATATAACAGCTTCCACATGAATCGACTCGGTTCATTTTATTGAAACTATGTTGATACAATATAATGTTTTTGTAACTTTAGTTTAATCGATAAATTCATGCTGAGATAAAGTCATGGTCTGATGAAAATCTTCTTAAAAGAGATATAATAGTAAATGCAACTGGTAGTTGGTAATTCTATTTTGTTCACAAAATGTTTTTGGGATCCCAACAATGGAAAACATTTTTACAGGGGTATTTGACAAAATATGTATTCTTTTTAAATGTATAGATGGTATTTTTATTAAGATATTATTTGAGTATCTTCTGTAAAAGGGACATTTCGGTCAACTTCTTCAGCCGAATCAGGTCAAGCATGGCGTGAATGATGTTATTCAGCTATTCTTAACTTGACCTTTTAATTATTTATAAAAATATCTGAATTGTTTATCACTTCATCAGTGAGTTCTAAGTGTATGGCCTTAATATATCAAATATTTCACGTAAAAATCGTCTTCCTACTATGTCAACCGAATTGATCAAGAAAATTATTATTGTATGTATTTGAAAACGCTGCTCATTCGATACACCTTTCGGAATAAATCGATTCTAAATCTTGTTGTCGTTGTTGTTAACGTAAGTTTGAAATTAAAGTTTTAATTAAGATGTGTACCTGTTGTCAGTAACTGATAAATTAAAGGTTTGCAGTTATGTAATTCCACGGATTTTAAATGGTTAAAAGCAGAATAAAAATCAACCGGACATAATTTTGTGTGGATGACATGCGGTGACATTCTTAAAATAAGGGTAGTTCTAACCACAAAAATCAGATAAACCAATCTGTGTTTAACTCCAATCTATCACCAGTAAGCGCCAGTATCTCAATTAGCTGGATAAATTAGTTGATGTTCAGGTCTTACAATCAAAATGATATTTCTCATCCACCAAGTGCTTTTCAAGCTGTCATCTTGCTTTATGGTAAAAATCAATAAAAATCAGTGAGAAACGGACTATGAACATTTTTTCCTATGATGCTATTCTAATTTAATTTACAAGCCTAATAGCGATATCCTTCAGAAGAGTAAATGTATAAATATATTGAATTTTTTATTTATTATTTTAGCATAAGTTTATGGTTAATAACAATGTGAATATCTCTTTAATATTTATCCAATGAAAGCATGTTAAATAAAGTAGTAGATAATCTAAACCTTTTGTAGATTAAGAGATCACCCCTTTGTAAATTGTTACTTATAGTCTAAGAAATTTACAATCTCGATTTTTGTTAACATATGTTTAAGGATGAAAACTGAGATGTAAGTCATCAAATACCTTAGAAATTTGTCAGAAAACCAAATACAATGCATTTTCTTATCGTGCATTACAGGATTAATAATCCTTGTGAACTCTGAATTAAAGATCAAATAGATATTATGGAGATGAATATACACTTATCACTTGTGGTATAGAGGCCTATTTCTAAACTTCACATTTATGTATTTCATTTTGTAAAACCTTATGGTTTAAATGTTTCGGTTTGGATTTGCTTTTTAACTCAGATCCCCCTACTTACTTAAATATAAGTGTCCGACCTCATGGACCTTACAGAGCACGAAAAAATGTCACATTCACATGTAATATACATGGTGGTAAACCGAAACCATCAGTTTATTTTTATCGTATAAATGTCCCACTTGAGAATGGAAATATTTCATTGGTTCATCCAAGTTCTTTCACCTCAAAGTATATCCTGGAAAACATAACTCAATCAATAGAATCCACAGAATTAACATGGCAATTAACAGAAGCTGATAATATTGCCAGTTTTGGATGTGCTGTGACAAGCCCAGTTATTAAGAACCAAATGTTCTCCTTATTCACTAGAGTCAAAATTATCTGTAAGTATTACGTTTGTATACTTTTCTTGATCTTGAAATAAAGTAAACAGTAATTTTTAAAATAATTGCAAAATATTACCGATTGTATTTTTTTGATTGATATGTCAAAAGGTTCCACACTGCTAAAATGTGTCACCTTTTTGAAATGCTCACTTATGCGTAATAGACATTTTGAGTGTCCCGTAAGTAATTCAAGTTCAACGGTTAAAATACTTTGCTAGAAAATGTCAACGATCACTACAGATTGTAAATATCAAAATTTGAATATTATGCCTTCTATCAGTGCTGCTCTCATTATGCTAGAAATGTAGTCTGAAATCAGTAAATTTAATTGCTTCAACATTTTTATCTGCATGTATTAGCTTTGTACCAATGAATTCACTAGAAAGCGAATTCACTGTTAATCACTAAAAGCAGTAAAACTTATTTTACGAGGTTATAGTTACATTCTGATATGTGCCCTACGAAATCCCTGGAAAAAAATGGCATAGCTTTGTCACAATACAATCTGCTTATCAGAATTTTTGAAAAATAATATAAAATGTTTCACTGGAAATCAGTTCACTGAAACGTATAAATTAAAGCACTAAATAAAAATGAAATTTAGTATTTAACATAAGCCAATGAACGTGAACCGATGAGGATGAAAATGTACCAAACTGATTAGTATTGATTTTAAAATTAGGGTTAAGAAGACTCTCTACCGTAAGAATTATAGGGCTTCATGGTTACAAACAATTTACTACATTCTAATTATCAGTTAAATATTTGATAAATAAGGAAACAACAGCAAAATCTACTATTTTGTCATCTCAGGGAAATATAAGTCAGTATGTTTCTCTTGGGAATTTGAAGATACGATGGCATTCACTTCAATATTGACTTTTTTGAAGGGACTTTTGATCAAAGAAAATGATCATGTATTCCATGCATACACTAAATAGTTCGGTGTAATTGTTAACCTAGGGAGTTCTTCAAACAAAGTAATTAACTAGTGATACAGGATTGTTGGTAAGATTCACTTCTTAAGTATACATGAATGCTGTAATTGAAAAAAATGTATTGATTAAAACATTCTCGAATTATCTGTTTCGATTGTGAAGCATAATTAAATTGACTGGTTTATTTGACTATGTTTTTATTGTATGTGATTCAAACTAGATTGACAGCTGGAATAATTTCTATGGATTCACTTAATTGATCCTATTTCATTTTCATTACAGTTTCACCTCAAGATCCTATCCTATCTTCTGTGCCACATGGTCCAGTTAGTGAGAATCGTACTAAAGTATTTACTTGTCAGTCTTCAAAAGGAAGCAATCCAAAAGCGAAAATTTTATGGGATTTAACACCTGCGATGGAATATTTATCCACCGTATCGAAAAAAAGTTACATGAACCATTCGAAATTAAATGAAAAAGAAGCGACCTTGAGACCGACATCGAATTCTGATTTTGAATATATTACGTCAGACACCTATTCGAATATCAAACATGATCCCAACAATGGTGGCTATATTGCATACAGTGAAGTACGTTTAATTGGACGACCATGGTTTAATGGTGCACGGATATCTTGCCAGTTAATTTGGAATGAAGAAGGAAATTATGATATGAAACATGTTGCAAAAGTCACTGATTATAACATTACATATCGAAAAACAGCTTATCTTCTTACTGAAGTATTTTGTAAGTTAACATTATCAGCTTAAACAGTTTTGAGTTCTTTCGTTCATTTTAGTAGTCATTAGGAATGCTTAGGCATCATGCATTATTAGGCATGTTTAAAACCTGGATCAAAATAAAAGTCTAGTATCGTTAAGTGTCACGTATAGTTCATTGGTAATTTCTGTTTGATACTAGATTGGTCTTCAAATGCAAAACGGTAAAAAGTAAAATATCTAGTTGTCTTCTAAGTAGATATGTGACACCCTCTTGCCTTTTTTGGACCTAAGGAAATGAAGTTTGTTAGATCTAAACTTACTTGAATCCTAGCTCTGCTTGACACCAAAACGTGCAAACATGCGTATAAACACATAATATACAAAACAGTAAAATTTATGATGCCTAAGTGTTTTGTAGTTCATTAGCCGGGACGCTGGTGGACTGAATTGAGGAACTCAAGAGCGATATAAACAGTCACAGTACATTCTTGGATATAAGTTGTTTTCTGTGCATTCCTTTATAGAATTGACAAATACATTCACTTCACTAAGCCTTGGACTGTAATTCAGATTCTGATTGAGAAATTTTGACTTGTAAGTTTGCTCGAAAAACTTTGGTTTATTGAAAATTTCCAATTCGCCATTTATTAAAAGTATTTAGCCATAGATAAAATGGCTTTTTAAGTTGTGAAAGGAATGTGCAGCTTCTGTGCGTGAAATTATCACAATATGACTTTTGTATCACAATTCGCGTTTTTGAGATGAAATTTAGGGAGAAAGTTGATTGTATTCTCTAAAATAAATCGATAAAAAAACTAGCTGTGCAATACAATTCTCTTAACTGCTGAATATTGTTCCTGATAAATTTGATTAGCTTTTGAGTATCCAAATCGTTGAACAGATTTATTAAAGTAATATCCCAAAATCTAAAGCATATTAATCTTTTAAATTGAAGAATTTTGTATTTTAGTCGATTTATTCTCGTCCACCTTTTAAAATGAACGATATTTGTATGTTTGTGTATTTTTATTTGACATGACGGTTTATTGGTAGCATATTCGGTTTTGCAGCGTCATCAAAAATTAGACTGAGGGTGCTGTTTCAAAACTCGTGTTGTTTTTGAAGTTATGTCATATCTAATTATATGTATCTTATAGACATAAAATCAATTTAAGGTTATCGAGCGTAAAATTTTACATTGTGGACATAGTGAGAATCATAACTGCGAAGAAACAGCACATATAATATACAATTCTATTGTATCTAGTGCATTAGTTTTAAATGCCTTCGTACAGTGAATTTTCAGGATTACAAACAGAAGTAAACTTATGATCATTGATTAATCGTAAAAGAATTAAATCATACGGTACACGATCATCTCATAATGAATCAGTTTATTGTGACCATATGATTAACGATATTTCACAGCATAAGAGCTGCATGACAGATATGGTTTTTCGAAGCTTTTAAAATTTGTTTGAAATTTATGTCTGCAGATCCATTTGATTACTGATAGTCTTATCGATGTGTTACCGAAGCAAAAATAAAATATGTTGAGAATTTTATTTATCAAATCACTCAGCAGCAGAGCATGCTACAATCAAATTTTTTTGTAAACAGAGAAAGTGATTTTCATATTAGATAAATATTTAAACCTAGTAACAAGTAATGTTAAAATAATCTTACGTATATTAAAAACAGAAATGTTTTACAATTAAATTAAGAGTTATTGTGTTACCACTACTTGTATACGGAATAGAAACTCAATATTTATATTTTAATGGATGTTATATTGTTTAAAACCTTTGAATAAATTTTATTCACTTGCAACAAAGTAACGTTATTGTACAAAATTATGAAAATTAATTAAAAATTTTTGTTTTGCATCAAGTTTGTCCATCAGCGGTTAATGTCATTGCAATTCCACAAAATGGAATTCAAGAAACATTCGGTGAGCAAATATTAGAATGTACAGCCACATCATCTCATCCTCCTGCAGTTATCACTTGGTTCAGCCACAATTCTTCAGCTAATGTACAAAAAACCACTGAAGAAAATGTAATTTTGGAAAGTTCTTTGACAAAAATCGATGCACAACATCAACCGAATTTAAGAATTACAACTGAAACAGTGAGTATATTTTTATTTTATTTCCTAACTAGTTATAAAATATTAAATGTCATTAGTCACCTTTGCCATTTAAATTAAGTATCGTTTTTGTAATTCTCCAGACATTTTAAAAACACAAACAGAAACAAAGAACAGAAAACTTACAAATTTGTAAGACTTACTGAATTAGGCTGCGGTGATAAGTATTCCATTTTGATAGTGTATTAGAAAAATGCCATTGGAATTAATGACATAAGATATATTTCATTGTTATGCAGTTCTAAAGTAGGAAAATCTACAAATTAAGTTGAAACATTTTTCACATTCGACAATTTGTGAGGCTCCGTATGTTTGACATTTTAAAAACCATTAATTTGTTTTTGTAAACATTTATTATATGACTGTTATAATCTATCATTAGCCACCAACAACTACATGAATATGAATATTGTAAAATCTTCAAGTAGGAGGATAATTAAAAAAAATGTTATTTAGGCGAATTGATATAGTTTGAAAAATTTAATGTGTAAATATATCAGTGGTATTACACCACTTCATGTTTGTGTTCTAGAAGTAACAATTTTAGAAATAGCTGTAAACTTATATTTTAATGTACAGTGATACAAATCGGTCAAAGAACAATGGAGAAAAAAGTATTTCAGATAATCAAATAACTAATAGACTTCTGAAACTTGCCTAGTAGTTTAGCTTATAATTTAAGTCAATATTGAACTAAACAGAATAACTAGATAACAAGTCCTACATTCTCTTTATTATAGTGTGTTATCTTTAGTATCGTATTCGGTTTATTAAATCACCATTTTATCAGTTTTGATAAGTGACATTGAATCACATTTGAGAATAGCACTGAACAACAAATCAATCTGTTTTTATATCTTCATTAATTTAGAACTCATTCACATTGAAATTGTTTAGTGACTGTAATTGATTACTTTTGCTTTAAAACCAATTACATATATACGTCTAGGCATTGGAAAGATCTCATGAATATAATGTTTGAAATAACTATAGGTACAGCATAAAACATAATCTTTTAGTTTTTTTTAAATAAAATATTTACATGTTTCAAACCAAACAACAAACTATTCCCTGAGGTGATGGACTTGTAAACACACATACTGAATGCGTAAACACAACAATAGTTTACACAAGAAAAATCAATAAAATGTTTGGACATTAATTCACTTCTTTATTTTCTCCTTCTCTGTATAGTAATATACGCAACAAAGTAGTTTACAATAAAATGCGAAGGTTAGTAAGTGGATAGACATTCGGTTTTTTATTTCTTCAATAACAAAATGTAACAGATAATCCATATAGTTGTACATTTTAATGTATTACAATCAAAACATTAGTTAAATTTATGAAAACTATTAGTAATAGACAATAAAATAAAATTTAACTTTGATATTTTACACAGTGATTATTGGTATTTGTACACGATTAATGGTGTTTATTGTCTATGCAAGTGAGTTATACACACGTATTATACTGTAAGAATAGAATCCAGTTTTACACGTGATTAACTGACAATTAAAATCGAAAGTGATTCAGTAATTTTCGAGATATTTTGAAGTTGTATTTTCAATATTCTAACATAAAATTTGAAATATCGGAAAACAAAAACTCAATGATGAATTTTCTTTATATTGGATTTTTAGTATTAACGATTATGGGTTAGTAAGTAAAGTGTATAGATTGATACAGTTATTGTTAACTGATAGAACTTTACAAATATTGATTAATTATTTCTGCATCAGTGATCAACTACTTGTCCTGTTCTGATAATTAGCATGATCAAAATGTCAATGATGAATTACTGACGATCCTAATTTTTACTACATAGTACTGTAGTGGTTTTAAGGTTTTTAATAACATGAACTATTTGATCCCTAGAAGATTACGCATCTATTTTACACCTTAATCTAATCTGCACATATTAGCATTTGTTGCTTCACTAGTTAATCTGGAAATTCGATAATTGTTGTAATGAAATAGGTCGACTTTTAACTGGTTGATTCAAACGAAAACTATCGACTGATCAGATTGTCAAAAAGTCGTTTTGAAACTTTATTCTGAATTTAAGTGTTGTTTAAAATAAATAAATAAAAATATTTTTCATCAAAGTTCAACCATTTTTTCTTTTCAATGCAAGAAGGTATCTTACTTTCTATACCGATAAAGTTGACAAGTTATATATATATATATATATATATATATATATATATATATATATATATATATATATATATATATATATATATATACAAAGAGAGAGAGAAAGAGGGAGAAAGAGCTTCACAACAGAACTGATACCTTTGACACGGACTTTCTAAGTGACTAGTTAATTTTGATGTACGACAAGTGTGCATATACACTAGTTAAACAGAACTTTAATGAATTATTAAGCGTAATAAGTAATAGATCGCATTTATGGATTTCTAAAGTGGATATATAAAATTCATAAAATAAATCAAACAATTCTAGATAATTTCACTTGACATGCTTGTAAAAGAATTTTTTTTCAATCAGTCTTTTTCATTTACACATTTACAAAACATTGTTTTAATTACAGTTCCCAGGAATTTATGGCGGAAAGCGTGTGGTTAGCAGACTGAAGTTAAGTAACCTTTCCAGAATATCCGATGGCATGCTATTCACGTGTTTGGTAAAGCATATTGAGTGGACAGAATCAATAAGTCGTACACATCAGTTAACAGTATTATGTAAGACCGATTACTCCAATTTTTCTAGTTTTTAAATAAACTTTTTTGGTAAAACCACATTTTCTTTTTGAAGTTATATTTCTCAAAAGAACTGACAACTGAACGACCGATTCGTTGATTTTCTCTGGTTAACTTTTATACAAATTTTAATTATGATATTGATGAAGAATGTTGATTTTGGTAAACAGTAACATAAAAGGTAGACGCTATTAAATTTTATTCTAAATGTACAAACATTTAAAGTAATAAGTTTCTCTCAAAATACAACACTAACAAAGATAAATATGTGTAAGAATAAATAAATTACAGTAATCTGTCAGTCAGCGAGGCAAAAGATGTTGATTATGTATTTACTAATTATCGTAAAATATATTAGTAAACTGACAGGCATCTTATCAGTAATAAAAATAATGATAACAGCATGATAAGTTAAATGAATATTTTGACACCTTCTATACATCAGCACATAAGATTAATGAAATTTGATGATGAAATGTGTGAATAAAGAAAATCAACCAGAAATAGGAAAATAAAACTAACCATCAAACAAGGTAACTATTGAAATTTTGATTATTTTGATTAATGATTTAAAAATCAGTAACGAAGTATTTTTGTTTCATCGACTACATCGGAGACTACATCTGTAAATTCTGATCTTCCGTTGAAGATAATTTCACTCGATGTTGACTTATCTTGTACATGGGTAAAAATTCATTTGGTTTCTACAGATAGGCTGTATAGTTTACATAGTGATGATTACCATTTTCGTTGTCCCTTTCCTATTTATTCAAGTCTGTATTAGTGACTTTCTTTCAAGGTAATTAGTTCAGTTTATAAGATAAATTTCTACCCACTTAATTTAAGAAAAACAGCATAATAGTAAAGTAATTTTAGAGTGAATGAAATAACATCTGGTTTAGCAAAGATTACACAGGAAAATAATCTCAATTTATTAACTATAATTATAGTACAAACATTTAATAGCAACTTCCATTGAAATTGTGAACTTACCAAGGTCAATGATAAATTCACAAAACAGAGAGAAGCTTTATCCATGCGTTTGTTCATAATTCTTGAAGTATTGATAACCTTCAATAATTTATTTGCTGTTAGTTATGTTACATATCTGTACACCTTTTAAAAACTCCTTAGAAAACAATTCGTCTCCACGACATACGAGATCAAACAAGCTAAGAGCCAAATATCATGGGTATTAGACGTGTATTAGACTCTCGATATTTGCTTAGATATATTTGGCCAGAACTTCTAAGTTATATGGTTTGTGTTGATCAGTGTGTTTAGATGATAACGTAAGAATAAATTTCACTACATTAAAGTCATATTGTGACAGCTTATGCTCGATAAATGATAGAAAACCAAAGATTTTACATTTGTATCAAAAAGCTACAGACAAATAGTAGTTTGGTTTCTACATATACATTTTGTATTTGATAACTTTTCACACTAAGAAATGATGTTCAGTTGTGAACAGATTGAAAATAGTCTAAATAGTCAAACAATGTAATATTTCATTCGATTCAAATGCTAATATTTTGCTTGTTGTAGATCCCCCAAAGCTAAAATTGACGATTTCACCACAAAAATTAGAAGATCGTCTAAAGTCTAATAGTATAACTCTACTCTGTACTGCTGAAGGTGGTCAACCAAGATATTTTGAGAGAGGAACTGACTATCAGAATATGATCCATTATGAAGATAAATTATCGAAAAATCAAGGAAACACATTTAATAACGATAAAAATACATTGTGGAAATTTTACTGGAAATTTCGTCCTCAGTATCCAGAAAATTGGATTCAGTCAACCAATCAAGAAATACGTTTTGACGAGTTAAATATGTACAGATCAAACAAACTTATTTTAAATTATCCAGGAAGGAAACAAGCTGGAGATTACACTTGTTTACTTGAGGGTCCAACTAGTATAACACAAGTGACTAGTCATCTAGAATTCACATGTAAGTAAAACTGGTGATATGATGAAAGTATTTGGTCGTAAAATCGCTTTAAACACTCAAAGAATTAAACTGAATCTCCGGAACCTTTGTGTAAATGTTCTTATCATGTATAAGGGTTAATAATTATTCGCCCATGCCATAATACTCATAATCATTTTAAATAGCTTTCTTCATTGTCTTAATAATGAAATAGTTGTGACGTCATTAACTGTAAATTATTCCTTTGGATTGTTGAATATGATGAGAAACCATGAGGATCAAAGCAACAGCTATTGACTATATCATATGTCTGAAGTGGATCGATATTATCAGAGGTTGTAAGAGTTAAAAATAAAAATTCTTGGGTATCATATCATATAATTGACTGTTTAACATTTTGGGCGAAAAATTTTACATATAAACCTAAATTTGAATTCAGTGAGCTAGCGATAGCATCACCACATTATACGAAATCTGCATAATATACAGTACATCATAAATCATATTATAAAGCTGTTACAGAGACAAATATTTCGGTTAATGTTTGCATCATAAAGGTAAGTGTTAAATATGGATTTTGTAAAAACTTTCATTCGGTTAAATACTTTGCTCATCAAAGAATACAAATAATTAAATAATAATTTTTTCACACTTTTCTAGATACAATAAGGTACAATGCTGTTTTCTGTCAGATTATTTTTGTTTTTATCCCTACTTTTAATTTCAGTCCCACCAGAGTTAGCGCCACCAGGAATCACTTCAGTAACAGCTGCAGTTGGTTCGCATACAGTAATTGAGCTTCATATCTGGTCATATCCTGTGCCATCATCTATACATAAAGTTAAAGATACTAAAATAAAACATACGGTAACTGAAAACTGTGATCTTCATGAAATTAATTCAAAACTACCCCATGAAATCAATACACAAAAGAAAACATATGCTTGGTACAAAGTTACTACAGAGAGAGCGGCATCAACCGTCAAAATACTTCAAAAAGAATTAGTACATGAAAACTGGGAACCACATGTCAGGTTGAAACAACTTTCTTCTGGTATTAATGAGAGACAACTTATTTGGACTGATGCAGTACTGATTGACTTTCCATACTATGACATGGATATACAAATTAGCCAAAACGACAGTGGAAATAGGACAATACGAAAAATACCAACAATTGTTTATCGATTGTTTCTTAGTCCTATTAAAGAAAAGGATTACGGAGAGTATATGTGTGAATTAGAACACGCAGAAGGGAGAAAACAGTTCTTCTTGCAAGTACAACCACCAGGTTTGTGGATACAATTAATTCTGTCAAGTATTTATTTGAATGTTTTACATAATTCCGCAGTTTGCTTAAGAAAACCAATTTTCAGTAATTTAATTCAGCCTAATTACTTTTAAGCATCTAAAGACATTAAAGTAGCTCAATGAGATTTTGTCTAGTTTATTATGTTCTGTATGTCATGTTTAATGATACTGTGTTATATTTAATGGAATAGATTCTGAGTACTATTAGAATCTATATTAAGTTCAGAACAATATAACATTTTCGCCGACAATTTAAATAAATACCTTGACTTTTATATTTTACAACAGGGTGTATTGTAATTTCAAATAAATTGAAATAGCAAATTTTTTGGAATTGTAGTCGTCTAGTTATCTAGCTTGAGTACTTAGTACTTACGAAAATCGTATTTTCTTACTGAGTAAATCATTTTGCTAAAGCTTAGATAAAAGTGGAGTGTTCTTTTTCTTCACTGATACTTGTTAGGCAGACAAACTAAACTTTATTAATATTTCGAAATAAACAGATTCATCGCATTATTCGATTGGTTTTAAGGATCGGCCGGCATAGAAATTACCTAAACTATGTTTGTTTAGTTATAGGAAATTTGTAACGATTTCATTGCGAAGTGATCACTATTTGAAAGATGATTAAAACATTTCCTACCGGGAAAGATTGATTGTTGTGGTGGTTGACCACCAGACAACTGCCCAATGGGATGGCGAATAGCGGAGCAAAGTGGGAGACATATGGTACAATTAATGATCACCGACGCACACTACAGGATCCACAAATACCAGCACAACATGGATGAACAAAAAAGAAAACTAGAAAGAATACTTACATCAGAACACTTAACAACGTTGACAACGGCGATTGAACTGTCAAGCAGACGACACAGAGAACAAAGAAGAAGCATCCTCAAAGACAAACTAATCAAGATTTCAAAGCCAGCCACAGAAGAAAACGCAAACAGTTGTGTGGTCAACCTATCGAAGCAACATCTAACGACAACAGAAGTACAACTGCTCCAAAAAGGATTAACAGAGAACGAAACACCACCACAATCATCCACCTGAGCTACAAGCTTTCTCCACCATCTCAAAGATTGATTGTATTTGATTCCTTAGTTCAAATATTAGTTTGTTAATCAGTATGGGTAGAAGAATCGTAATTTACTTGAGTTATTTCATATTAGTACTTCATTTGTGTCTTTTCTCATCAATATCAGTTCATTCAAACTTGGTACACTTAATATGAACAAATCGTGCAGCAATAATTTATTTACTAAATGAATGGTTTATATACGACTGAAGCCTTTTAACTGTATATTCTCATTTTCTCTATATTCCTAAGTAAGGTAATTTATGAAATCTTGTATTGGTGATTATGCAGTTTTGTTCTAATACCTATTTTTATTGTTGAAGGTAATCCGTTAATCAATGTAAGAAATATACGTTTCACACGTCATAATTCAAGGATTCAAGTTCACTTTGATCCATTATACTTTCGGAAGACCAGCGAAGGTAATTTAGCTGTTACAGATGAAAATAAAAGCCAGACAAAATCCACTTTAGATATGGTTAAAAGCAATTCGTTCAGTTCATTTCCTACAAGAAGTGACAACAGTCAACAACTGCAATGGAAAATGTTAATAAGAATATGTGCATCAAATTATTACAGGCATGATCAATCATCTGATGATATTATAAAAGAATGTTATTCATCAAAACCTACGACAACAATTCTAAGGAAACCAAATTATCGTTCTTGGTTAGATCTGTATAAATCATTTCCTAATAATAAATATCAAACCACTTCATTATCGAATAAATGTATTGATAAGCTAGTTGAAAACCCTGAACAAGGTAGAATTGAAATTCCGCTTATCTATTCATATAATAACACAGTCTATAACACTTCCTATCCAAAATTTGAACAAGAGTCTAAGAAAAGCGTCGAGACAAAAAATGTGTTGGTAGACAACGAGTCAACAGATGCTTTTCAAGGGATTTTTGTTCAGTGGTCCGAAGAGGAGAAATTAACATATCAGTTTAGATTTTATGATGAAAGTGGGAGTTTGGTCTATGCAACTGACTGGGTTGATGAAGAAAATGGTTAGTTACAAATATTGTTTTAAATAGTTGCCCACTGAAAGTATATTCCATCTAAATTTTTATATACGTAACTAAAATACTAAAGACTTTTGTTACTTGCTGTAGTTTGTTAGTGATTCAACTCTAGTTATGTACTCGTACACTGTGTAATATTAAACTAGGCGATTGGATTTCTTATATAGAAATGATTTATTTAGTCCGTAATCCTTTGAAGATACTCACTAAATAGATTAGATCATGATTAATAACGTTCAAATGTCAGTCATATGAGATAATTTTACATTAAAAAGCCTTAAAAAGCAACTGCAGGAAGTATGTTGTAATATACAGTTAATATAGGTTTAAGGAAACCAAATAACGATGACTAATAGGTAGGAAATATGCTGAACCTTTAAATGTGGAGTAGTGGATCGCAATTCAATGGACGGAAAGTTAAGTATTGACTTAAATGAATAGGATCTTGATTTTGAAACATAAAGAGGGAGTGTATTTCGAAAACAGTTGTTCAATGATTCCTGATGTTTAGGCATTACCTAGTTAAAATCAGACAATGATGAAAATTACAAATGGAAGTGAGATATCTATCAAACACTCGTGTTTTCTGAGATCTTATGCTTATTAAGTAGAACTCGTCTGCCAATAACTGAAGCGATCCATTATATCCTTTCATACGAGAGTAAGCAAATGTTAAAGAAAATTTAAAAATATCATTTTCATATGGCGTTATCGAGGTAGCATTCAAAAACTTGAAAACAAACCAGAGAGAAGTACCTTGTAAACTATTTTGAAAAATAATGAATCGAAATCAGGTTCCAATTTGAATATTTTTGAAGTATGACACACAGTTATGTCTGAATTAATTAAAAATGCCAAGGTTTATTTTGGAAATGATCACTGATCACATGTTTTGCTGTTTAAATTTACATCATTTTCTAATGAATCTGAACTATCAATTATTAATTTGTAATTCTGAACATGGGACATTAATATTAAAAGCCAAGTCATCAGCTTTACTTAGCGTATGATTGTATTTTAATGGCTTTTAAAAGAAGTTCACTGAAATTTCAGTTGTTCAAATGGCTGTAAAATATTCTTCCACTATGTTTAGTGACAATAGCTTTTCTGAAGCATATACATAATAGTCACTATCGTTATCATCAGTAATTCAGAGAATTTCTCCATTTTCAGATGGCTACTATGATGAATCAACTTTTCTGACATTCACTTACCACAAGACCTACCTATGGATAACAACAATTGGTGTATTCTTCCTACTTCTCTTGGTTATTCTATTGGTATTCGCGTTGCGCAAACGATTCAACAATAAAAACGGTAAATTAAACTGTTATATTTTAAATGACTATGCTTAGTGAAATATAAGTCAATTAAAATGTCTGGTTTACAAGTGTTCAGTGGCATTTTTCTAAACAAAGGTTATATGTGATGATGATTACAGATAGTAGTATTAGCTTAACAATAATAATATAGATAAGTATTATTCTCCAGTGAAAATGCACATATTTAGTAGATATAATGGTTAGCTTAGTTAGATTGACTAAATTAGAACCTAATTTCCTCTCTCAAATAGTTATCAAACATTATTACAAACTTGGACTGTATAAGTAAATTCATTTAACATTTTGTTAACTGGTGAAGTAAAATTATCAACTTATTAAGCTACAGAATATCTTTTAATTGTCATTGAGTACATAAATATATATTGATTCTAACGTCATTTGTGAACTCATATAAATCATTTTAAAATTCATTCTTGACTGAACAACCAATACATTTTTTGCATAAACATTTCTGTTCAGCATCAATGTTAAAACATTCTGTCCTATCACGCTTTTTAATTATTGTATTCAAGGAAAGTAAGTAATGTTCTTACAAGTTTACATTCTTAGCACTACTTTCATTCAGTAGATAAATTCATATGATCAATTTTCTGAGAATAAACTCGTCACATAACTTAAAAACGAATAATTGGGCACAAATCTCAACCCAAATAAAACCATATTCCTGCTGAAAAAAAACAGAACTGATATTTCAAAGTCAGTACACAAATGTAAAGGATGAAACTAAGGAATTTTCACACTATTTGCTATGATGTGCATATTTAACTGTCTATAACCTGTATTTTTGATTAGAGGTTTGTTCAAGATCTCTATTTATTTAGATTTCCTAGTTAAAGATAAGAACATACACCTAAAATGATTCTCCTGACTTGACCTTACCATAGATTTTATTGTACGAATGAACTTCATGTTAATTTCTATTCAGTAGTAGCCCATCCCAGTTGTTTTAACTTATAGTTATTGGTTCCTACTAATTTAAAAGTCTAAATTATAAAGTTACTTTATTCAAATGCAAGAGAGCTAGATGGAATAACTTTATATTCGTGTATGCAGAATGTAATGAAGATACCTAGTGAGGAAAATGCAGCTATACAAAATACGTCTCCAAGTATTTTTTCGAAGACAAATTATCAATCGTGATATAAGTATGTATGTAAACATGTTTAAGTATACAGAAAAGACTAACAAGTAGTGTACTGCATTAACAAGCAAAAAATCACGTGTCGACTCAATGATCTAATGGATAGGTTTTTGTCACTGAACCAGAAAGTTCAGGATTTGCTCTTTAGCATGATCGTATATGTGAACTTTCAAGAATTTGAATAGTGTGATGCAAAAGCTGTCTAGTGCTTCTTAGTCTTAAGTGGTTGTTTAACTAAGATTAGCCCATTATATAAACTATGGTGAATATTATATTTTTTTCAAACATCATAGTAAAACCGGATCCCTTGTTTGTCAACAAATCCATGTTTATAAATAACTTCATTCGATAACTTTAATTTCTTTTAAAGTGATTTACTCTTGATTAAAAAGCATAGTTTTGTAAATCTTAAGGTACGCCTTATTACGTAGTGAGTTAAAAATGTAAGCAACAAAGTTTTGTAACATCGGTCGATCCCACTGTTACGACAAAAGAAATCAACATAAAACTAATGTGATATATCCTAAATTAACATTACGTGATTACAAGTTAATATCAACATATACAAAAATGTTATAATTTTGTTTACTTGTCTTCAAACTACATGAAACAGTTTGCATTTCCATCACAGTTGGTGCTGATGAAATAAACGTGTATGTCTCATAAATTTGAATATGGAACATTAGTTTGAAAATATTGTATTTTGTGCTTATTTCACTCAGTTGGTTTGAAGAAACCGTATTGAAAACATTTGTTCGTTACTTTTTAGGTTTTAACGATGAATCATAGAATAACGCTACGTTAGTAAGCGTCAATTCATCAGTATAATTAGAATAGTTTCTCTATCTATCAAATATTACTATAAACCATCTGCATATCTATGTATACAGCAGAATATTCATAATTGAGGTATAGAAAATAATGCAAATCCTTTACGAACTAAAAGATTATTGATTTTTCTCGTTTTTTAAACCAGTTGAATAACAAATCAAATGTTTTTTATATCATGGTGGGTATTAACTTACATATCACTTAAATAACAACAATTATAGTCCTATAAAGTCGATATATTGATGTCAGTATTGCAAATGAAAACGCCACATTGTACATTTTGTCACTGAAATAAGTGAGGTCATCAATAAGAACAAATGTACAACGTTTGTGTTATGTTATTTTTAGTCAATGTTTAAAATGAAACTATACATCTCAGTCTATTGTGTATGAGGTCATCGAACAGAATATCTCTTCGTAAAATCTAATATCTATGCTAATAAAACTTAAATGGCCGTTATAAATTTGAATATTAGAAATATGATTTATAACAGCGAAATTTCACTGGTAGCTGTAATTTTTCCACTTGACTATATTTAAGAATTGCCTCATTTTTTAATATTAACATTAATGTTAATTATATGTGTTTTAATTACAAAGCCTAACCTATGAAAATAAAACCTGATAAAATTTACTATATGAACACTTACGTTAAGGTTTTTTTAGTGTTTTTAAAATAATTTTTATTACGAAATCTCTTTACTGTGTCCTTGTAAAAAATTAATTTCATAAGTTAATACATATACAGCATTTAGTTAAGGATAGGAAATATTTTAAAATAATGGCTCTTGTATAACATGATAATTTCATTTGTAAGAATTTATTAGTCATCTCTCCTGATTATATTAGTCGTCTGATAATGTCTGTTATGTAAGCAATTAAAAATCTATCACTAAAAACGATGTTAAAAATTTTAGGTAGAATCATCATATCACTTCGTTTTCAAGCATTATAGTCGACAATTTTGACGTAATCGTTCATGTTAGTATAAAGAATTTATTCAACGTTAGAAGTACATCAAATATCAATGTGGTGAATGCCTCTTTAATTATTAGTAAAATGTATGTTTGATTTGTGTTATGATATGTTATGCTCGCCACTTGATATGCTTGAAACTATTACGAGTTCACCTTAGTCTATAAACGAGAACGGGACTTCTGATCCGTTGCCACAAACTAACTGACGAAAAAATCTTGATATAGCGTAAAAAGTGTATTCTGCAGACACCCAGCAAACACAATGATCTCAAACACATAAATCCCGTTTATTTATCCATAACAGAAACGTCCTTGGGAGAGTCACAAAATAGCACACTAAAATAACACAGTAACCAATCACAGCCAAGGATTTTCCAGGCGGGAAGTGTGATCTCAAGCTCAACTGATCAGCCCATGAATAAAATTCAAAATCAAGGCTTTTATCAAGTTAGTTCTGGGGATCTAACGTCCCCAACATAATACTTAGTTTACAAGTTCAGAACTACTAACAACCAATGATTATAAGCTTTGTGTGATGGCTTTATGAATTTCTTTTGTAAAGACTAGCATACATTTAAAACTTCTATTAGACTATATTTTTAAAATTACATGTCATTGTAGTAATTTTTTCCTAATTCATCTAATTACTTTGTCTAAAAGTCGACAAAAAGCATTTTACATTTCTCTATGTACTTTTAAGTATTAGTTAACAGCCCATAGTAGTAAATAATCAATCATACAATCTAAAGGCTTACAGTAAATGAAATAAAATAAGAACATAAGACTATTCATTTAGGAGTAAATAAACTGAAAATTATTGGAAAGAATGAACAGTTTTCCATTTAGTTTTATATTCCCTCCCGACATTAACTTAATGATTAAAAAAAATAGTTTTTTGTAGAACAATGTTTCAAATTTTATCAAAAGACGGTTCAATATCCAATTACTAATTATTATGCATGACATTTTGGCAGTGACGAATTGCGTAACTGCGATCGGATGCTATTTCATTTCTAATTTATTCATACATTCTTGTTGTTGTTTAAATCTATTTCGTAACGATGAGTTTTCACACCAATGATGCGAATGGCATATTAGAACTATGTGACTATGACCATTTTTAAAGGCAATACATTTATTTAATCGATATAAATGACTGTGATACAACTAACCAATGTGTGCTATGAGTTTTTAAAGAATACACAAAAATATATTTTGACATAAAAACATGTTAAAATCGATTACCGAATATGTTCAACTGTTAGTAAAATTCATTGAAGGATTGAAAACACACTGATTATCCCTTTTTTATTTGTCAAAGTACACCAAAGCTTTATGACTGTACTAAAATACAAAAATATACAAAATACCAACTAATTTTCTGTGCGAACACATAAATATATGTATATATATTCACGTATATAAATACATAGAAATGAATGAAATGGGTACATTGGTATTTTGAAAATACTTCAATACTATTCATTTTTCAATTCAACTAATTCTCTGGTGTTTATGTTATGTCTTTTAACACAACACTATGAACACGTTTATGTACAGCAAATCGTCACTAGCTTTTCTTCCTCTTCTTCTCCTCTTCCTTATTTTAGTACAGAAGTGTTTTCTTTTTGTCACTGTGTTTATGCTTTTCACCTTTCCGAAAACTTCTCCCACTGATTATTTTCAAAAATGACATTCTTAAAATTATCATGGTTATTGCGCATAATAGTAATAATAGTAATAATAATAATAATAATTACAAAAAATCGCAGTACATTAGTGTGAATTTAATTTGTAGTTAATTATCATATAATAGAGTTGATAATTTTTCTTCTTACTTAATTCTCACATAAACCCACATTATAACACTCTTCATCGTTATCATCGTTATTACATCTCATACACACACACACAGACTGATATTGAAAATGTTGACTGAAAATTCAAGTGTTATGAATTCAATGTTTTTTGCTTGTTTGCTTGCTTGTTTCACATACTCCTCTCTAAAGTGTAGATTTTGAAGTGAATATAACAACTGTTCTGTATACATCAAACGCCAACTTATCAAGGAAGAAGAAAAAAATTAAGACAGTGAATGTTATAAAATTAATAAAGCAAGCTTCATAAGTTTATGTTCGATGTTATGAATGATTCACTTTTAAAATCTTTACAGTGAAATATCAAGCAACTATGTGGATAAACATCATAACTACCCACATAAATTGATTATATATATATATATATATATATATACTTTTAGGCAAAGTTATATGATTTGGTTAAGATTTTTGGTTTACGTCGTTGGATATATACACCAGTGACAAAGTTGATTTTCTAAAAAAATTCACATATAATTACTCAAAAAACATGTAAGTAGTCGATGAAATGCTGTGATTGAAGCTCGTATTTTGACATCAGAAAATATGAAATTTAGAAAACATTGTAAAATGAAAGTTAATTTACAAATAAATTTAAATAAACTATCCAACAATGAATAGCTTATCGTACAACCACTCTTAATTAATGATATTTTTTAAAATTTTTCTGAACAAATTAGAATTGTACATCTCGATTGTGAATAAGTGAGTAAAATACATATTCATTTGAACTACTTTTAATTTTATTGTCATTATGGGAAAGCTAAGACAGATCGTTTGTTTGAACAATATGAGACTCACTCTGTGATTGTGTAGATTGGTCATTTGACATAAGTAGTATATCATTGTAAAGCCTATCAGACATATTATAAATATCTTGAATAGGCATTAAACAATTAACTGAAATCCATCGCATAGCTCACTGTTTTTTTGGATTGAATGTATCTATAAATATTCATGTCTAACATGTAATTTATTAGATAGTCATGCATTTTGACTTGTTGACTTCAATGTCTCCAACGTTATTTAAGCTCTAATACATGTTACTAAAAAATTTCGTCGATATGAGACTTAAACTAGTCCTAAAATTCTAAATTATTCTTATTCTACATATGTATACTAGTATTTGTCAAAAGCCACCACTTGCCTATCACAAAATGTTGCGTTATAAATATTTTACTTTCTACTATTGGGCAATTGCATTAAATGTTAGCTAAGCACTCCACTAATATTAACTGTTGTTAACTAAGTGTCAGCTGAATGCTTACCCAAATTCATACATTGCAAGAAAACTCATATTTTAGTTAACATCCAATTTACATGGGAATAACAGTAATAATGATTCAGAGGTTTCTGTTCTAAAATTTTGTCGGCCAAATATCAAATCTATGCTAATAAATCAATTAATCTTTCCCGTTAACGAATTTATATAGCTTCCTATGATGTAAAATTCAGCATAAAGTTACCTTGGTCCTTTTGTTAATATCACTTTTAGTGATACGGGATCGAAATATCTATGTGAAATAGACTAGCATGAGTACAATTTGATTAGTTTGAAAAGACTTTGGAAGAGTATACTCTGAAGAACCAAGCAGCAAGTATTGACTGTGGATAAAAAAATTGTGACCCAAATATTCAATCTAGGTGGAGTACTATTTACGTACCATTAACAGTTACCGTCATTAATATTCGGCCTGAATCCAATCCATCTTAAAAATGTATATTTACAAACTCGCTTACTTATAAATTAATAGTAGTAAAACACGAACAGCTAAAACATTTTCTCGTAAAGCAGTCAGTGAATTTCCACACGATAGACATTAAGAGTTTGCAATAACATTAATTCCCTAAGACCGATATAATGATAAGTGAGTGAGCGTTATTGATGTTCGTTGTAACTTCGATTGCTAGTAAAAGAAAATAATCTTCTGATGTCCACAATGCATTTCAAATATCTTTTAGTGAAAACTTGTAATATTAAATAAAGCCATCATGAATATCAGAAAGTGTATGAAATGACCATTTTCTTATCATTGCAGCAAGAATATCTTAATACATAAATTTTTGATATCCTAATTCCCTGATCTGTCTGAACATTATTACTTAGATCATAGTAATCAGGTGTAAAATTTTGAAACATATTTTGTTGTTCATAAATTTTATCAGTATTTCAAGTATCAGTAGAGTGTAAATAAACATAAGTTCGCTGACATAAATCCATTCACTTGGATCAAACTAAATGAAGATTTTTTATAAAGTGATTTTTTGGAATTTATGGGTTTTATTATTTCACTAAATAAATCGCTACAACAACTGGATTTTATAAGGAAATTTTTAGAACAACACATAAGTGAACAATAATGTTTTCGATTAGATCGTCCTCAGAATTTACTCAAATATACATGAATATTTATACACAACTATAAAATATAACATTCTATGAAACTTCCAACTATTTAAAGATTAGGTCTCCCAAGTGATTTTCTCTCTTCTTTTCCATTCCACTACAAAGATTTTCATACGACGGATAACCATAGCTCAAAACCATTGAATAAACCAATTGTCAATTCCGCAACCACCTCACCAATCGCAAACTGTAAATTGCAAGAAAATTTCTATGTAGCTAATCTATCAGTCGTTGATAGTCCGTGTTCGCTACTGGGCAGAAATGAAAGAATTATTGATAAAAAGTTTCCACTATTGTATGACAAAGATGTTAATAAGCATTCGAATAATCAAACGTTGGTGATGCGATATGACTATCATGGAGGAGAAGTAACAAATGAGGACGTACCAGTGACTAATATGTCAAAAAATCTATATGAATTACATTATAATCAACTAGGATTACCACATAATCAGTGTTCTGATGACGCCTTTAATGATAAACTGCAGTCAATATCACCAGAAACGTATTCGCCTATAGCATCTCACTTAACTCCTTTACCAATCATTCGATCAAATGAAAGAGCTCCTTCATCACCATTGCTACTTTACAACAGTTGTTGTCATAATAGAAAGTTCAACATTGAGATGAATCACTCTTTACCTCCCTTATTTGGCTCAATTCCTATTCGGTGTAATTCACAATCGCCAAACTCAGTAAGTGAACTTTCATCTCCTCTTCTTGGAACTGGCAATCAATTTAGGAAGACTTATCGATCTCCAGTTAACATATGTTATCATCAACTTCATAATGGTACAAATATCAATAGTACCACAGATAACATTTATAATAAACGAATTAATCAGGAAGATTCAGCTGATCAAATAATCTGTAAATCTAACACTAATCAAACTAAGTTTAATAACGATTCCAATTTTAAAAGTGATGTTACCAATACTTTAAACTGCTGCAACCCACCAACTGAAATGAATTTGTTACAAGTAAATGATAAATTTAATACATTTGAATCGGATTCATTTGGACGATATAACTCAATCCACAAGCCAAAAAGTAGATTGGTTTCATTGATGAACAATTCATACCCATTAAACCAGAGAGAATTTCAATCTTGCAAAATAAACACTCATCAAAGTAACCATAATAGTAAAATTAACAATTGCCTTAATATATTCAATTCTGATAATAACTATAATCATAATTCACATTTTATCAGTTCTGAAAATAATAATAATAATAATAATAATAATAATAATAATGTAAAGAGTTGTGATGTGAACAACTTTGATTTAAACAGAATTCCAAAGGCTATGCATCATTCAGAATCTAATAAATTTTCATCACCATTATTTGAACACAAACCAAATCCATGTGTAACTGAACAAAATCATTCCGATAGAATCGATGGAAATGTATTAATGAATACAGTAAGTCAATGATTTCACAATATTATTATTATTCTGTTTGAATTTTCGTCACTTATTATTATTTTCAAGACTGGGATGCCGCTTTTATAAGTTTGTTGGAAATGTAAACGGATTTACACTGATCTATGTCAACATAATAATCGAATTTCGATAGAAAAAAGTAGTTTTATTAATTTTACGATTTATTTACATTTTTTTAATGTGGAACTATCATGTCTCATCGGTCTATTTGAAGATATCTAAGCAACAGATAGATAATTCATTTTTGTCAATGATATAAATTCAAATTATAAGACTTGTCGATCGATATCATCAATATCTATGATATATAATAGTGCACAGAACGCGTTCGACTTCTGGTTCGCATATATTTATAGTACTATGATCGGTTAAATTCCCTAATTGAGAATCTGAATATTTGAAAGAAGATTATAATTAGACCATGTTACAGAATACACTTGTTTTGAAACAATCTTTATGATAAAACATGTCAACAAATGTATTTCGAATATTATTCTCAGTAAATTCTGACCGAATTTTACATTTTGGATTAAAAACAAGTGATTTAAACAAGTAATAACAGTCTGATCACTTTTGTGGTATACTCAAAAACGTTGGTCATGAATTTATTTTTGTAGATAGAATAAGTTTAGCAAAGGTTTCAAAATGTGTGTAATCTATGCGTAAATTAAGTTACACGGGGTTCTAGAGATCATAGCATAATTGATGGAAATGACTTACATGGGATAAAGGATAATATACGAAACAAGTTTTATGAAGCATTTCCTTGTGCACAGCAACCATAAATACACGAAATTACCAACTGTTGGTCTGAAATGTGTCGTTAGATTCAGACGTATTCTTATGGTAGATTTAACATATGGATTGGAGTGTAGAGTAACATCCCCAACATTAGCTCCATTAATGAAGTTTTATTTTTTTTTTCAGTTTCTCTAATCGTTAAACTTTGTATTATTTTAGAGGTTGCATTCATCGATTTCATTTATCCCAATGAAATTATATTTTTACGTGTATTTCCGTACACCAGTTAATATGTTCTACAGTTTCTGCTTCTTATCTTGTAAATTTTCTCACCATTTTGTTAATGCAACGTCTGAATAAGTTGGACCTGACAAATGAAAATCAAAGTTCACATGATTAGTTATGAATTTATTATTGGCTATTTTTAAAAAAAATAACTATTTGTGGGTGATGAAAACTATTAGAATAAGTAATTTCTTTTTTCGCTTTATATAAGATATATTATACTGATTACGGAGTAAAACTACAAAACATGTTAGGCTAATAAAAATGTAGGTTTAAATAAATAAAAGTGAATGCATGTGTTTTAGTTGGTGTGTGTAGATTGTTAATTAGAAAATGGATTATGTAAAGAGATAAGTTTTTAGTAAGGAAACTGAAAAGTTTTTTGTATGAATTATTAACAGACAGACTGTTAGTAGAGAATAATAAAAATTCTTTAATTACAAGTTGTAAAAATGACAGTGATTACCAAATAAAATAAATATATATTGCACAGCATGACTCCTTCTTACAGAAGAACCGAATCAAAGTTAAAGAAAGAGGATTATACTGCCACTGATTACAGTACACCTATTGGTTTTATGTTAAATCAAGATAGGATAAGCTAGAATTTATTATCTTGATCTGTGTAATTTTGATGAATTGGAAAATTCCCCTGTAAACGGTTTAAAAACATATTTTTAGTTTGGAGTTTTATCGAGAATAGATTGGTTATTGAATAATTTCATTCGTTAACTGACTTATCGCATTCCGTACAGCTGTTAAATTCTAGTTATTCTTGGTAATTTAAACTAACAGGCTAACAGTGTTTAAACTCACAATCTACGAATCTAACAGCCAACTTATTAGCTTAGATTTTACTTAAACATTAATTTAATTTATATTGCACATAAGAGTGACTAGATGATAGATTTGAATTGATTGGTAAAAATAATTTAGAATATGGGCTACATTTAACGTTTACAATAATATGAATAATAATTAAATAATGCTAATTTCTCTTGTGAAAAAAATAAATACAAGCGTCAAATTTCAAAATAATGTGAATTCCAGCTTTAACTTTGCGTCACATATAAGGGTATTGACTATGGATGAAATATGTATCAACTTAGTTAATATATTAGAGGTATAAAGCAAGAAAATAATAACATGAACAAGAGGAAGTGGTTGATGGTTAGTATGTGCATCTAGGATGCGCATTCGGAAGTCGTCGATTGAACCTACCTCCATCCCAGTAACTTTCACTTCAAATGCGATGGCATTATCCACCTAACTAGTGAGTTCCGATGGCCAATGAGTTGTGCAATGTTTGAGGTTTAATTCGTCTATATTGGGTGTTCAAAACTTCCCATAGATCTTTAGTATTGCTACTGATCAGTCTTCTTTAGTATCCTATATAGACTGCCTCTATGTATAACCATTAGGTCAATAACATTACAAAAAGAGATCGATAGTGGCTAGTAGTAGAATTTAGGATGGATACTTCGTCCTACTTGAGATTATACAGCTGGATGTACATGCGTCCTGGATTTCACTGCTAGCCACCATTCGTCTTCCCCTCTAATGTTTGTGATAAATACAATAACAAGGATGTACATATATCAATCGGCTGAAACCAATAGGAATGAAATTATGATAAAAGGAAATTGGGCAAAAATAAATTTCTTTACAAACTATTCCCTAGATTCATAACACATGGAAATATCATAATTGTTTTTATAAAATATATTACCCAATTATATAATAGGATTCTTTTATATTAAACTAAATTTAACCTTGGTCATTTACTGTTGTCTACTACTGACTGATATCACTTAACTGAGATGAAATAATAGCCGTGAGCAATTAACGAAAAAAAAACTAGTTATTATAAGTTTGCCCCAGTAACTATTACCATTCAACTAGACATAATGTGTTTATTTACATGCTTAAAACCTAGGAAGATATAAATATTTAATTTAAAAAATCAACTAAGAAGAGATCAATTCAAATAATTGGAATATAGCACCATGTTAAAGCACCGTGACAGTTTGTTTTAGTCACGATTTTATGATATAAATGAAGGCTTTTCATATCACTTGATTAGGCTACCTGTTCTCAGTTCTCATTATTATAACACAGCCCTTTAAAGAGAAAATATTTAATAAAAGTAAATGCTTTCATACAATTTCCGATTAACACCAAAATAAGTACCATTTAATAAATATTAGTAAATATGCAGCTTGTTGATACCTTGTATGAAAAAGTTGTCAATTTTGATTATAAACTTTTTTTTTTAATTAGCTCTAAAATCGATCTAACAAATCACAGATTTTATCACATATCTGTGAAATATTTATCTGGTACTAGACTGTGAGATTTAGTTACATTCAAATCAATCTTATATTTTAAACATTACACTCAGGAATCTAATGCACTATAGAATACTACTATGGCTCATTGATCCAACTATTCACTTAGAGAATTCTGTTTACATCAATTGAAGCTAAATAATAGTAATGGCAGTATAAATTACTCAAAAGAATTCAACATGAAAAATTACTTTTTATCCGTTAATAAAAATTCTCTCATTCGTCTCTTGAATCATTCATTTTTATCGTTTTATCCACTAAAATGTATATAAATATATTTAATTATTATAAGTTGAATGATGCAATTAGTGTAGAAAAATAAAAGTTTTTATTTATTTATTTATTTATTTATAGTACGATGATAAAAATGTGAAATAAATGTATTCTTTCTTATATTCACAATTGGCACTTCACTTAAATGATCCAATCATTCAATAAGAGTAAATTTAAATTTCTATGCTTAAATTATATAATAAATGAAAGAAACAATAAATGTTTACTTGTTTGTTTGTTCGTTTATTTGTCGAATTTCTTTTTGTTTTGTTTAACTTACTATAAAGAAAAATATCCACTTGTTCTCTTCTCTGCCTTACTCCCATCAACTTCGCAATGTACAATAACACTTAAGGTTGTGAATAGCTTATAGTTATTTATATTGACATCAAGTTTTATTTACCATTTTAGATTAGTCTATTGTTTATTTCAACATTCATTATTTTTTTCATTTCTGTCTTTTTGAGAAAACTAAGGCAGGCGCGGAAGATTGTATTATGCAAATTTATACTCTGAGTCAATTAAAAACGAAAACATTACATCGAATACTCTATTTACACACCATCTTTGAGTCGTGACTTCCAACGCTCCATCCTTCTTCCATTCCTGTTGTTGCTTCCTTTCTTTCCTGTTTGTACTCCATTTACTTCTTGCTTTTGCTCGATTTGTTTTCCGTTTTCCTCTTCTGACCGTGAGACTTCTTCTTTCACGTCCCTTCTTATACTACTTATATCGTTCGTATAAGTAGCATACACCACATTTTTAATATTAGATCTTAATAGACTTTGTTGCATATTAACTTTTTCTTTATTTATCGAAAATGTAACTTGTTTAGCTAAGTCATAAATCGGTCTTTATCAGTAATGAAATGTTTGATGACATTTAATAGAAAGGATTTACCTTTATGTTGTATGTACCATTTTGAACATAGGTGTCCTATAATCATTTCTTTGTTCGTAAAAAATTATTCACAGGTTTGCTGTTAGTTACATACTAGTTTGTAGTTATACGCAAATGAGTATAACAAAAAAATACATTTCATTATCGTTTATTTTACAAATAATTTTACAAGTCATTCAGTCTATTCTCTTTATTCTGTTTATCAGGAGGGATAATTGAATAGCATCAACAAAAGTACAAGAGTAACAATACAGAGTACTGTATCGAATAGCTTACAAATTATCCGTCTTGTGAGAACGACTAAGTTTGAGTGGTTTCTGTATAGGAGAAAAGGGTTAGGAAGTAGTTTTTATCAATCAATTTCATATGTCGCCATTTTTCTTACAACCAGATGAGATTGTTTTGTGACTTTAAAATATCTCTGTTCTTTTA